TCCCAATCCTAGTTAAAACTCACTCTTACTTAATCCAATTCAAACCCACAACCCATTTCTTCTCAGCCACCACGGCTATCATAAGTCACAATCACCAGACAAATCGTTCCACCTACACACAACCCAAACGTAGTACACCCCTTCACTTCCACACTCATGATAGATGTCACAGTCGTCTCCACCGCCGCCTGCCACCGCCAGCACCACAACAAAGGGATAGTTTCTACATGCACCACCAGCAGAACTAGAACAATAGTCACTCATATTCACAAAAACCCACCTGAAGGGAAGGAAAGGACGCAATTATATCCAGAGCCCACGTGTCAGCAGTTCGAGCAACTAAACGACATGGAGTCCTTGACCTTTATTTATTGTTGGTTTACACTACTTCATTTTAAGATCGCATCATTTACATTACTTGTGTTGCTGTTGTTGATAATTGTAGCCTTAAAAATCCACTTAATCAGAATTTGTGAGTTCACAACCATTGTTCTCCAATTACCCCCACATGATTAGACCTTTCGAATAATTATTTGTATCCTTGCTTTCTATTTTATTTGCATCACTATTATTAGGTTGCCACGTTCAACCCTACGTAATCCCTTCTTTTTCTCAGTAACTTAAAAAAAATAAAAATTAAATAAAATAAATTACTATTTTACTGTTGGTACCTGTTGTTTATTGATATCAATAGTGCATTTCACTTAGTTAGTGTTACTTTGTATGCATTTGCACAGTGATCGTGTTACTACCTCTAGTTCTAGTACCCTTGCCATGGATCCATCCCAAATTGAGGCCTTCAGCCGACAGTTAGTACAATTACAAAATTAATTAACGGCTGTCCAAACTGAGGTAGCCGCTACTCGTGAGGAGAATAGAGCCCTAGCCGCTAGGTTGAACATTTTTTATCTAACCCCATATTCGACTAAAGCTGAAAACTCTGAAGCTTTCATGAATAGACATCAACGTCGTCCACAAGGTGGTCGACACCACGCCAGATATGATTGTAGGGAAAGAAATCAAGCTCGTGGACGAGAGAGGGAATATCACCGTCATGGGACACAAACTCCCCCTTGCCACAAGGACCGCCTCTTTCAAAACATTAAGTTAGATGCCCCTACATTTGATGGTTGTCTAGATTCTAGTGTATTTAACCAATGGATTAGAGAGATGGATCGCTTCTTTGCCTGGTATGGGGTCCCGAAAGATCGGAGGGTACAATTTACCAGTTTGAAATTAACTGACACTACTCAACTCTTTTGGGAAAGTGTTGAGGACCTCCGGGAGAGGCATCATGCTCCCTTTATTGAGAGTTGGGATGAAATGAAGTGTCGCCTTCAAAAAAAATATTTACTTTAATCTTACCGGGGTAACTTGCTAGATCAATGGAACGCCCTTATGCAAGGCAATCTACCTGTGACCGAATACATCGCGTAGTTTGATGAGTTTCGAATGAGATGTCAGGTCGTTGAGGATGAGGTCATGACTTTGAGTAGGTTTAGGCAAGGCCTAAGAGATTATCTTAGGCGTGAGCTTATCCTTACGAGTTAGTGACTAGGACACCGTATAGAACTCGTAGTGACACTTGCACTACAACCTCTTCTGCATCCACTCCATCCCCTAAGTCTAATCTGGGGCCTCCTCCTTCTAATGCTACCCCTGCATTAAATAGTAAAGGTAAAGGTTCTGAGGTTTCAAGGGCGTCCTCCCATTTGCAATGCTTCAACTATAAGGATTTTGGTTACATTTCTTCTAAGTGTCCTAGCCGAGCCCTAGTTATGGAAGAGAGTGGAGGTATAGTTGACGAGCCATTAGAGGACCAGGTTTATGAACCTAAGTTAGAAGAGTTTGATGACTTGGAGGATAGTGAAGATATCTTCTTAGGTTGTATTCAGGCTAGTCCCCTTATCCCACATACGCTTAGAGTCGATGTCATCCGTTGCACTCTTACCCAGCCTAGGGATGCTAATAATTGACGTCATCATGCTATCTTTCACACTTACATCAAGATCAATAACAAGGGCTGTAAAGTTATCTTGGATAGTGGCAGCTGCATTAATGCAGTTTCGATGGCTACTGTATCCCATCTAGGGTTGAAGCCAGTTCCTCACCCTCAACCATACAACGTCTTTTGGGTTGATAACTCTTTTATAGCTGTTAAGGAGCGTTGTTTAGTCCCTATCCAGTTCCTCGAGTATAAGGATCATATATGGTGTGACGTCATTTCAATGGATGTTGAACACATCATCTTGGGACGACCTTGGTTATTAGACCTAGATATAACCATCTATGGTCGATCCAATTCCTGCTCCTTCATGTTTAATGGAAAAAAGATTCACTTTAACCCACTGTCCCTAAAGCCTGTTTGCTCACAAGAAACGAAGAAGAGTGTGGAACAAAAGGGATTGCATATAATTAGTCCTACGGAGTTTGAGCGTACGCTTGTTGGTGACTCAATTGTGCTCGCTTTAGTAGTCATGGAGGTTTCATCTAACTCCACAATAGAGAGCCCTGCTGAAGTCCAGTTGTTCCTTCAAGAGTTTCGAGATGTCTTTCCAAAGGACCTACTTGATCATCTACCTCCTCTACAAGACATTCAATATGTCATAGATTTCATCCCCGAGACATCCCTTCCAAATTTGCCTCATTATAGGATGAATCCTACCGAGCACGCTGAACTCCAAAGGCAAGTGGATGACCTCCTTCATAAAGGATTCATTCATAAGAGTTTAAGCCCGTGTGCTGTCCCCGCCCCATTGACGCCTAAAAAGGATGATTCTTGGAGAATGTGTGTGGATAGTCGCGCTATCAATAAGATCACGGTGAAGTATCATTTTCCCATTCCTAGACTTGACGATATGCTAGATATGATGGTTGGTGCTACAATTTTTTTGAAGATTAATCTGAAGAGTGGATACCATCATATTAAAATTCGCCCAGGTGATGAGTGGAAGACCGCTTTCAAAACAAATGATGGTCTTTATGAATGGCTAATCATGCCTTTTGGGCTAAGTAACGCGCCGAGTACCTTTATGCGGGTAATGACACAAACTCTTCAACCTTTCATGGGTAAGTTTTTTGTTGTCTACTTTGATGATATTTTCATCTATAGTAAGACTAAAGAGCAACACCGTGACCACCTTACACAAGTTTGCTCTAAACTACGTGCAACTAATCTGTATGCTAATGTCAAGAAGTGCTTTTTCTTCACCGATACAGTTGTTTTTCTGGGGTTCATTGTCTCTTTGATAGGAGTGTCTACTGACCCTGTCAAGGTTCAGGCGATTATTGACTGGCCTGAATCTAAGACTATTCATGACGTCAGGAGCTTTCACGACTTAGTTATATTTTACCGTCGCTTTATCAAGGGGTTTGGCACTATTATGGCGCCTATTATGGAGTGCATGAAGAAAGAGGAGTTTCATTGGACACAAAAAGCAGCTAAGGCCTTTAAGTTGGTCAAGAAGCAAATGACGGAGGCTCCTGTCATACGTCTTCCCGACTTTTCCAAAGTCTTTGAGGTCGAATGTGATGCCTCCGGGGTAGGTATAGGTGGAGTCTTGAGTAGGGATGGCAATGGGGCAGGCCGCCTTGCCTTAGACGAGGCAAGACGGGGTAATGCCCTGTTTACTGCCCCTTTTTTTCTCTCTCTCTCCTTCTCAAATTCACAATTTAAAAACGTTAACATCCAAATTAAATACTCGAAACAAACAATATCCGAAAATAAACAATTACAAATATAATTACATTATAACTAAATTTCACTTCTTTATCCAAAAATAAATTTGATATTTTTCCATCTTTATAACTTCATTCATCGGCAGGTTCAGAGATTATAGAAGATGTATCCTTAAAAATGTAAGAAATATTATACTCAGTATCATCATAAATTCATAATAACTATGATTAAAATGTAAATTATGTAATAAATAAAATTACCTCCTCATCAACATCCTCATCATTCATCTTGGAGCAACTTCCAAAATATGCAGACGACGCAAAATTCGCTATTAATAAAATAAATTAATTAGTAATAAGAAAATTCATAAAAGAAACAATATAAAAAGAAAATGTTTCTATACATCGTACTGTGAATATCGGCCCATAACCAATCTTGAGCACACATTAAAGCCTCCAAAATTTTGGGGTGAAGTCTATTTCTGTGTGGACTAACAAATCTACCACTAGTTCTGAAAGTAGATTCGGATGCCATAGTAGATATCGGGATGGCCAAAATATCTTTTGCAATTCGAGATAAAGTCGGATATTTGATTGACTTCACTTTCCACCATGTCAATATATCAAAATCATTCGACCGAGGCAATATAGGCTCATCCAAAAAAATATCAAGCTCGGTTTTCACACTACTAGGAGCTTCAACATTAGAAACAAATTTATAAAAATCCGCCATGCGATTTGATTTATTATTAGCACTTGACGTCTCGGTTTGACAAGAAGAAGTAGAAGACTGAGCTATAGACCCACTTGAATCATTCTTTTTCTGATAATCGTGCACCAACTTGCTACAAACTTGATATATTTTGTCAATCTCACTTGCAGCATTGTGATTAAAAATACAAGATAATAAAACTTAATTAACACCATCTTATACCTCGGATCCAACACTGCTGCTAAAGTTAAAACTCCATGAATATCGCTCCAATACTTAATAAACTTTTCCATCATACCAGTTGCCATCATTTGAACTTCCACATAAGGAGATTCAAGCCACTCATATAACGACAGTTTGATATCACAAAGATTTGCAAAGAAGAGATTAGAAGATGGATACTCTGTTCCTAAAAACAATTCAATAACCTAAAAAAACCTTTAACTTCTCACATATTTCTTTTGCTAAATCACAATCACCATCACTAGGGAAATATTTATATCGTGACTCCCTCTATTTCAAATGCGAAAAAACATCCTTATAAATCAAAGCAATACTAAGCATCAAATACATCGAATTCCACCTTGTTTTACAATCAAGCACAATTTTTTTTCACAATCAATTTTCAATTAACGTGCAAAGAGCTCAAAAATTTCAAATCTCTTTGGCGTGGCTGTCCAATAAGCAACACTATCACTAATTTTCTCAACACTACCACTAATAATGTCCAACACATCCTTCACAATAAGATTTAATATATGTACACAACACCTCATATGAAAAAATTCACCATTCAGTACAAGAGAACGAGTACAAAGTTGACTTAACACAATACTGATCATTGCATCGTTTGTGGTGCAATTTCTACAATCAAAGTTGGTAACTTACGATCAATATTCCAGTCCATCAAGCTGCTCAATAGAGTTTCTAAAAGCATATCAGCAGTGTGTGGGCACGGTACATATATAAACCTGAGTTCATTCAAGAACAAATTAAATCAACTAAAAGAATATCATTTTGGTAAATTATGAGAACAAGTGAATGTAATGTTTTACTATACCTCACGATTCGACTCTATAATTTCCACGCTTCATTTATGAAATGAGCAGTGATAACCATATATCCACTCTTTTGATTAGAAGAGGTCCACATGTCGGTAGTGATCGAAATTCGACTCTCAATCTTCTCAAGTGCAATCATATTTTTGGCTCTTTCGTATTCATAGATTTTCAAAGTGTTGCGAGAAGGAACCTTAAACAATGGTTTTAGGTCATGCAAAAACTCTCGAAATTCAATGTGATCAACTATAGACAAAGGATACTCATGCAAAATCACCATTTTTGAAAGGCTATATCTACATTTATCTGGATCGAAAGAGTTGTGAGCTTGCCACTCGTGGCATCCTTTTTGAAATTTAATATTGCTTGGTGAGTATTATCCTTATAACGGAATACACATCTCTTCAAATGATCATGCAAAGGCTTTTTACCAATTTTTGTTTTACCCCCTAACTATTTCTTGCAATGATTGCATATAGCCTTCCATTTCTCACCAATTTTCTGTCTTTTGTAGTGCTCCCACACAAGTTGAAGTGAATTTCCTCTTTCCAAATGATATTTCTCCAATATCACGCTCCTTATCACTTAGGTTTATTGTTCTTTCATCCGCATTTGGTAACAGTTCAATTGGATCTTTTTGCGGGACATTGCTCTTCGGTACATTGGTCATGCTATCTTCCTCGCGTATTGGTCCTAATCCAATACTTCCAATACTACTTGGGACAGACATCTATGCAAATAACAAACGACATCAAACACAACGAATTTTCTAGTTTGACGTGAAAATCATATTTATAAAAAGAGCAGGGGATAAAATATCTAAAGTAATACTTGGCAGTCATGCTATCATTGATGTTACACGTCCATGGATCTCTTGTAGATGCTGACTTAATGCGAAGTTCTTGATCTACGACGGTGTAGCAGGATCGGCTATTTGGCGTGCTTCAGGGCCAGTTGATATCTGCCATCAAAAAATACTTGTCAGCTTGAATTGAGAGTGGAAGTATATTGAGGGGTTACAAACCAAAGCCACGATAATTCATTTACTTACAAGATTGTTAAGAATGTTATTTCCAAGTCATTATGTAAACAAAAAGTAATGAGCATAATGTCATGATTCACAAATAATCTCATTTGCTGTCTTTCCTAAACAAGAATGATTTTTAATCTTTCCCCAGTGTTATTAGAAGTTATAGTAACCAAAATAATCTCTAATTCATTTCAAACTCCTAATGGAAAAATTAATCTCTAAGACCAGTATAAAACATAGAATGAGAACACGAAGATTTTTCTTCTCTTTTCTTTTCATGCTTGGTGTTTGTGGGGCTGTTAATGACAATGCATAAATTTATTACTATGAAGTCAAATGATATTGGTCACTAACTATTAAAGATGAAGTTCAAGTCAAAATGTTCAGAATAAGAATGCCAGATTATGAATTAGAGATGGGCAGAAATATACTGTTAGACTGAGACTAATTCGAATAAGAAGATTCAACACGAGGATAATGGGTGCAAGACAAATCCTAGAAGCTAAGCACTAAAAGTTGTTTTTAAGGTGTCCAGCAAAGTTTATCCCCTAATCATATGCAACTAACAGTAAAATAACGAAATAACATTCTTTAAAGCAAGCACTTGGCATAATTTTGGCCAGAAGTGCAGTTTTCACTTTGTAATTTGGAAATCCTACCTAACCACGAGGATTGGTCCAGTTCATAGAAAAATCAGTCCAAGCAAGGAAGGTTTAAATTGATTAAGGCTGGTGAAAATGACAAGATATTGAACTGGAAAAGGAGACAATGGGTAAATTATTTGGTTGGCACGAAAAGAAAACAGTAGCCAAGGGAAATTTTTACCTTTACTCTAGTGTTTTGGGTAGGGATGGGTGCACAGTTCACATCATAAGAAGACGCCTTAAACTGCTCAGCAGATGTCCTTGTTATTGAGAAAAAAAAGTACTCACCCTTAATTACCTCAACAGATGGAAACAGATTAAACTCAACATAATACATCCATATTAAAAAAATTGTATCAACAACCAAGTTTTTTATAATAAGTAACCGTACTCAACATTACTCTAGGATTTCAACTTAGAAAACTAGATCTGTGCACATCACTAGAAAAACCTATAAAGTTTGCATATTTCCTATAAGATAGCAAAATTTTTTCACACAACAGTATATTATTCCAGCAAAAAACATAGACATGAAACAATTTCCAGAAATCTAAATCTAGAATCCAGTGTCACGAGATATAACTCACCAAGTTCAGAAGCTATAGATTTTGCAAATTCTGACACCATCCAATTGAACCTATACTTAGGAAAAAACTGGGAAAAGAAGCAACACAAAACCTTTCAAGCCTGAAGCCATATTAGGATTTGGCTTTGTGATTTGGGTCGTAGATAATCGTTCTCACATTTTCAGCTTTTGTATTTGCAAAAAGGCTCAAAATTGATTGGGTCGTTAGGGTTTGGCTTAACGATTTGGGTTGAATTTCATCGTTCGAAATTGATTGGCAGAGATGAGAGGAGACTCGAGAGGAAATAGAATTATAGAAGTGGAAATTGGAAAAGAAAAGATTAGGGCAAATGGGGATTGGGAAATTGGGCAACCGGTTGTAATGTAAATTACGTAATACACACACACACACACACACACACACATATATATCGGTGACCCGAGACGGGGGTTGCCTACTTTAGTGAGAAGTTAAATGAGGCTAGACAACGGTACTCAATTTATGATAAGGAACTGTATGCGGTTGTCCAAGCTTTTCAATATTGGCGCCACTATTTGTTGTCCCAAGAGTTTGTCCTTTATTTGGACCACGAGGCTCTCCTTACCTTAACTCCTAGAAAAGATTAACCTCTAGACATGGTCGTTGATTTGAATATTTGCAAGCCTAGTCATTTGTTTTAAAACACAATAAGGGCGTGGAGAACCAAGCAGTTGATGCATTAAGTCGTCGTGTCTCCCTTTTATCTATCATGAGTGTCAAGATCATCGATTTTGAAATGCTTAAGGAGGATTACAAGACATGTCCCAATTTTAAAGATATATTTCTTGATTTGCAAGGGGACAATCAGACACCACAAATGGCTTCCTACTTGAGGAGGGTTATCTCTTTAGAGCCAATAAATTGTGCATCCCTCGAACTTTAGTGCGAAATTTCATAGTGTGGGAAATTTATGCAAGAGGTTTAGTCGGTCACTTTGGGCGTGATAAGACCATAGAGGAAGTTGAACGCCAATTCTATTTGCCTAGTTTGAAGAAAGATGTGGTTAAGAGTGTTAGTACATGTAACACTTATCAATTGGCCAAACAGAAGAGGCAAAGCACAGGCCTATACACTCCTCTTTCCGTCCCCAATTGTCCTTGGCAAGATATTAGTATGAATTTTGTATTAGAACTTCTACGCACTCCAAAGAAACATGATTCTACTTTTGTGGCTGTCGATCATTTTTCAAAAATGGCTCATTTTGTCACCTGTAGCAAGACTTCAGATGTGTCCAAGGTTGCCATGTTATTCTTTAATGATATTGTCAAATTGTATGGGCTTCCTAAGACCAATGTGTCCGATAGGGATGTTCGTTTCACTAGCCATTTTTGGAGGACTTTGTCGCAAAAGATAGGTACCAAATTGAAATTTTCTACGGCCTACCACCCTCAAACTGACGGTTAAACTGAAGTAGTTAATCGAAGTCTTTGTAACCTATTACGCTGTTTAGTCCGGGAAAATCTTCGAAATTGGGATTTGATCCTACCTATAGCTCAAATTGCTTATAACAGTTCCATGAATCGTTCATTGGGTATGAGTCCATTTGAAGCTGTTCACGAGTATAAGCCTAGGAAACCGTTAGATCTCATTCCTATGTCCCCACAAGCTAAAGTGTCAGTGTCAACCAAAGCATTTGCACAATATTTTTGTGATTTGCATATTAAGATCAATAAACAACTTGAAACCAGTAATGTAAAATATAAACTTCAAGTTGATTTACATCAACAACATGTTGAGTTTAACATTGGAATTACGTTATGGTCCGCATTAGGTCAGAGCGGCATCTACATTGACCCGTCTCCAAATTGCAAGTCCGTAGTACTGGTCCTTTTAAAATTTTAAAGCAAGTTGGTCCAAATGCATATATTGTTAACATTCCACCCCACCTTGGTTACCACTCTACTTTCAATGTTGAGGACTTAGTTGCTTATAAAGGCCATTTCATTCCCTCGGATGAACCTCTGTTACCTCCTTTTGTGGATCTTGACCCTGATTCTTTGGCCCCTTCTAACCTACTACCACCTCTCAAAGCACAAAAAGATAACATTGATGTTATTTTAGATGAAGAAACAGTGTTAACTAATGATAGAGAGGTTCAACACTTCTTTGTTCGTTGGATTGATCGACTGAATTCTGACTGTACATGGATCTCTAGAGAGACACTACAGCAATTGAATCCAGATTTATTGGAGCTTTATCAGAGTCAACAGGATCTTCCTTGGTCCAGATCACCTCCCGTCCACCCAAGGAGCGTTGGTGAGGACACCATATTCAGACCTCCACTGACACATTTCTACAGACGTCGGAAAAAGCTTGCCCAACCACTCCACTCAGTTTATGGTTGGGAGATTGAATGCAACCTATATTGATATATCCACTCGACAGGGTCGAGTTTTCTCCCACCCCGGGAGAGTTGATGAGGATATCCAGTCGTTTTTATTTATTTCTAATTGGACCTTATTTCATTTTTGTGGACTTTATTATTTTGGATTCTTATTAGACTTATATTGGCCCAAGTCCAATCTAGTTAGGGCTTAGGTTTTTAATATTTAAACTACTTTGCATTGTAATTTATTTACAGTTGATGATTGAATAAAGATATTTGATAGCTTGTGACGAAATTTCCCTCTTCCCCATTCTTTTTCTTCCCCTGTTTTCTTCTTATATCATCCCTTTCCCTGATTTCTTTTTCATGTTCATTGATTTTCCCTTTCTCTATTAAATTTCTTATTGGTGTTGCGTCAAATTTTCTGTCTCATCTCTCTGAAGAATAATTCTAGGTCCGCCCCCGAGTACTAGTGTGGCAGTAGAGCTCCAGTTTGGGCCTATAATACCATTCTAGAAGGAGAACGACGAGATGAGTAAGACTCAAAAATTGCTTTTAAAGTTTTAGTGTTATTTTAGCCATTTAGTTTATTTCGAATTCTTTTCAATTTTAGTTTGATTAAACAAGGTTTTCATGTAAATCCTTACAATTAAAGGGATAATTCTTTGTTTTTGATCTTCTTACATTAAAAAAATTTCGTGAGTTTATTTCTTTCATAATTTGGTGAATTCCAAAAATTTTCTTCTTGAGTTTTTCACTTGAAGAGAACTTCATTTTCTACCATCATCCCTATTGAGAAAAATAGCAGAATACCCTCCTAAGAAAAACTTCCGAACGCATCAGATGATCACACGAGGACTACTTGCTGTTGGGAATCTACTTATACATGCACAGCGAAATTTAATTAATTTTCGATTCCCACCAAGCAATAGTGATAAAGATTGTACCTTTGAAGAATTATGCAAACTTTTTGCTTCTCTTTTCGTTCAAGCAATCTTGAATCTGCCTCCCACAGTTGTCCAATTATCCAGCCTCCAACAGTGATCCACACAGAGAATAAGATTGCAGCCACCAGGGTTTTCCTCTCGTGCCAGCAAGAGTAATGAAAAACCATATGAATTGAAAATCATAACCTTTTATTTATATAAGCCCAAACGGGTCTGGCCCAGTCCGGTCTAATATTTAATTAAACCATTTAATTAAATTCGATCCATAAATTAATTAATCCAATTAATTAATTCGGGCATATAAATAACCAACCCAATTAATTAATTTATCCAACGATTGTTAAATTAATTAATTGATAAATTACAATCTTCCAATTCTCTTTTGTGTGAGACCCATCAGGCTCCCGAT